CTTGCTTTAAGCTCTCACATTGTCCACATATCTGAACAGAATTTTTAAGACCATGTAGTCTGTATTTATTGCACAGCTACCAAAGTGTGTTTTAGTACTGATTTGTGGTTCAAATGCTCATTTGTAAACATCACTGACCATCTTTCATTATGAAATGCTGCATATTAATATCACCTTTAAAATTATTGGCAAATCTATTTTCTCATGATAATCAGTCACTTCTAAAGCACAAGCTAGAACAGCTAATATATAATTCACTTTAGGCAATTATGTTGATTGCAAAATACATCAGAATGCACTGGCTCTAAAAATAAGAGTGTATGTGGCAGTCCATATTTAGCAAATTTAGGTTATTAATCAGACCCTATTCCTTGCAAATAATTCATCCATATATAAAGCATTTTTCAGCAGCCTTGTCAGGTAGCAGCAAGAGTGGAGAGCTCCACAAGGAGAGGTAATCAAGAACTGAGGGTGGCAACAGTGCAGGCAGGAGCAATGTCCTCACTGACAAAGTCTCAAGTGACCAGGAAGGTTCCAGCTCAAGCCAGGAAGCCAAAGCAGCGTTGGTAAGTTAGTGGGCTGGTTAGAGGTGTATCCACAATGTAGCTCAAGCAGAGGCCTGGGGAAGTAGCTCAACTTCCACACAGCTCTGGGGCAGGGGAGGTCTTGGTGGAGACCCTGGATGGACTGTTCATGACAATTACAGCGCCTCAGTGTACTGAGAGTCCTGACCAGGCCACTTGGGAGTGGGAGGGGTGTGTGTGTAGATAAACAAGTAAATAAATAGAGAAACAGAGTAGCTTTCATTTGGAGAAGATTTCTGTAGACTGCACTTCTGTATGAAGCTATAAAAGCAGTGACAACTCATACGAACAGTCAAATTAGAAAAGCTGATGCTGTCATTCTCTGAAGTGCCTGGAGCTCATGACTGCTTTGAGACAGAAACAGGTGACTGACTGTCATCCTTCCCAGATGCTCAAGTTCAGGCTACTGTTCAGCAACACCTGCTTTGGTGCACAAAAGGAGTGCTACTGGTGAAAGATGGGACCATCTGTATTTCAGGTCTCACTGCTCTAAAAGTCAGAAGAATAAAACCTCATTTATCTGTGTTCGCAAATGTTCTGGCTGAAAATGAGAGTGATTTTCACATTCTTCTTGGTTTCCAATGTGCTGGCATATTTTATTGCAGCAAGCCAGATTATGGTAACAAGAGTGTGAACTAGTGAACTAAAATTCCTGAGATGCTGCCAGCTTCTCATGTGACTACAAGTAGCTCTTAAATAGATTCTTAAATATGTACTTCTATAATAAGGATGTAATTGTTAGCATATAGCAATGGCAGTAAATTGAGTCAGACTAGAAATGTCCTTCAGGACTATTTCCTTGTACACTAGTGGATATGTTGTATTTCCCAGATAACTAAATTTTTCTTGTGCATATTCTGCCTTTTATCCTGCCTTGCTGGATAAAAAATTGGTTGGATGGCTGGGTCCAAAGAGTTGTGTTCAATGGAGTTAAATCCTGTTGGCCGCCAGTCACAAGTTATGTGTTCCAGGGCTCAGTGCTGGGGCTGCTCCTTTTTAACATCTTTATTGATAATTTGGATGAGGGGATAGAGGGCACCCACAGTAAGTTTGCACTAAGTTGGGTGGGAGTGTCAGTCTGCTTGAGGGTAGGGAGGCTCCTGCAGAGGGATCTGGACAGGCTTGATTGATGGGCCAAGGCCAATTGTATGAGTTTCAGTAAGGCCAAATGTTGAGTCCTGCACTTTGGACACATCAACCCCCAGCAGCACTACAAGCTTGAGGAGGAGTGGCTGGAGAGCTGCCCAGCAGAGAGGGACCTGGGGGTGCTGATTGACAGCCGGCTGAACATAAGGCAGCACTGTGCCCAGGTGGCCAAGAAGGCCAACAACATCCTGGCCTGCATCAGGAATAGTGTGACCAGCAGGATCAGGGACGTGATCCTGATGCTATCCTGAGCCTTGGTGAGGCCACACCTTGAGCACTGTGTGCAATTTTGGGCACTGCAGTACAGGAAGGACACTGAGATGCTGGAGATGGTGCAGAGAAGGGCAACTAGGCTGATTAGGGGTCTGGAGAACAGGTCTTAAGAGGAGAGGCTGAGGGAGCTGGGGCTGTTCAGCCTGGAGAAGGGGAGGCTAAGGGGAGACCTCATTGCTCTGTACAACCACCTGAGAGGAGGTTGTAGTGAGGTGGGTGTTGGCATCTTCTCCCTAGTGACTAGTGGTAGGACAAGAGGAAATGGGGTCAAGCTGCACCAGGGGAGGTTCAGATTGGATATTAGGAAAAATTTATTCATGGAAGGAGTGGTGAGACATTGGAACAGGCAGCTCAGGGAGGTGGTGGAGGCACCATCCTTGGAGGAGTTCAGAAAACGGGCAGACATGGTGTTTCAGGAGATGGTTTAGTGTTTAGGGGTTTTAGAGCGGATGGTTGAACTTGATGATCTTGAAGGCCTTTTCCAACCTTGATGATTCTATGATTTATCCACACGGGCACATAGAAACATTTCTGACATAAATAATCCAACCTACAGCTATTGTAACCTTCCGACTTCTGAGGGGGAGGGGATCTGGATAGTCCAGAGAAAAATGTCTGAGATTAACATGATTTTTTGGCTAAGATATTCTCATAATGTAAACAAAACAAAACAAACAAACCCATTCTTCTGTTTGCTATGAAGCCAGAGCAAAAAGGGTCTTCAAAAGAACCCTGCAGGGAAAATACTGCAGTACTGTCACACAGTGAAGAGAAGGGTTTCCTTAGATACTTAGTTCTAGATTAATAGTGTGGCAAACGAATTCCTCTCTTCTACTTTTGGTGATCTGGTGGTTGTTTTGCCATTGCTGAGAAGTCTGGGATCTGAAGATGCTTGTTTGGTAAAACCTATCCTGACAGAAAGACAGCCACCTCTGTAGCAACGATTTTTGTTGCAGGTAGCAGGAGGTGCTAATCCCAAAATATACCCATAATGGGGCTTGTGGAACTGCTGAGCTAACTAAAGGTGCTTCTTCAGGGGCCATGAGAATGGGTTGACGAGGGCTTAATCGAGTGCAGAGAACAGAGTACTTTATCTTCTTTCTGTTCAGATAGTGTTAGACTTGTTGGACTAAACAAAATTTGACCCCTGGAATTCTCAGAGCTGTCTATGCATCACTATTAAGTATCTTTTATTGCTAACATTTTCAAGGGTTGTTTTTTTTCCTTGTTCAATGAAAGAACAGATTCTGATGGAAAAGAAACTGCTTCACTGTAAAAGGAGCTAAATGGCAAAGACCATTTCTCTCCTCAGTATTCTTTTACCATTTTCCTGATTATGCATGCAACCTAGGTACAAAGGGTCCAGAATTAATCCCCTAATCTTTTTGTGACATTTCAGCACTGGTGTAAGTGTATACTAATATTGCAGTGCATGGAAACTGAGGCTATAGAAAGTGTTTGTCGGCTATACTTGGTGCATGATGGGGATTTATGTCTATAATTGTAGATTTTGTAGACACAGAAATTGCTTTGGAACCAGAGGGGTTATGGGAGTATGGGGAATAAAGAGGCTATGGCTTCTTATGGGAATGGAAATTGAAAAAGTATGAAAGAAAATAGACCAGATAATACATAAAATGAGGAAAAATAGACAAAAACTGCATTACAATATAACATCATTTTACATCAAGTAACACCTGTAGCTGCATCTCAAGGTATTAAAAGTGCTTGCCATCAGTTCCACTGAAATAGGTTTGCATTCATTTGCAGGTGACTTGTCAGAAATAAATGTGTCCATGGAGTTGTAAAACATATAATTGATCTCACAAACTCAAAAATCAAAGCAAAGCTAAATGTAACATGAGCACTTCCTTCTTCCTAGTGATTACAAGAGTTAGGTTCTCATATGAAGTTATTCCCCTTTGCTTCTGTAGTGGACAAGCTGACAGAAAGTGGTAACATTCCTAGCCATGACCACTAAATGTGGGCTCTTTTTGCTGATAGTATGAACTTCTTACCTACATTCATGAAAAGATTCCTCAATCACACATATGAGAAGGTGCTCTGACGTAATTAAATGGGTAAATGTTGCAGAATAAGGAATTGTGCTGGGGGAATCTGTACAATATTCAGAGCTGATGTGAAGTATTCATGCTAAACAGAGTCAACTGGAAATGTACTTCATTTAAGGGTGCATAGAGTGCATAAAGAATGAAGGATTGAGCAACATGATTCAAACCACTGTGTTGTTTATGTAGCCTTAGATTTAATTTTCATCCATGTGTCCTTTGAGTATTTAGCTGTCAATATTCCATTTTATTAGTTAAGATTCTTCTCTGAATGAGGTGGAAACAGAAAAGCTCTACTGAAGGATTTCAGATCTAGAAAATTAATGAAATAATATTTTTTCTCATAATTTCTAATACATTATACACTCCTTTCATTTTTTGGTCTTACATTATTTTCTGTTCTAAATAGTGTTTATAGCAGACTACAGTATGAGACTTGAATTTTATCTGGAATTAATTTTTTAGCTAAAATCTTCTTAGGTTGAAATGTTGTGATTTCTAAATATAAATATAAAAATATAAATAAAACCATGTATACACTTCTTAATAACCTGTTTGACTAATATAGCAGCCACTCCTCATATAACTTATGCATTATGAGTTATACACACACAGTTTAAAAAATGTTTATGCCATTTTTTCTTTGATGTACTAGTTCCCTGGCCATTTAACAACCTTACCCGAAGTGTATCTCATGGATTTTGTATATGATGTCTGTTGCATCAAACAGGTTTTATAATTATTTAATGAATATCTGTATCTGACCCATCATTTTAGTTACAATATTGGCAGTGTTGATCCCCTATTTAAAGCTAAGAATAGAGGGAGAAATCAAACCAAAAAAAGCTAGTTAATGAAGCCTCTGGACTTCTGGTCTGCTGTGTTTGTGAGATTGTAGCAAATTCTGTGTTATTTTACTCTGTTCCAGCTGTTTACCTCTGCAAGCGGACAATGCAAAACAAAGCAAGGCTAGAGCTAGCAGACTATGAAGCTGTAAGTACTTGGGGAAAAATAAATTTCTCTGCTGGGCCTAATGAGTGTATGAAATAATGTTAAACTTGAGAACTATAAATGTTATGAGTGAAAATTTCTTAGTTATCTGCTATTGTCAGCATTTGGGTCTGTCAGTGCTCAGTATTCATAAATGCTGTTTGAGAGACTGTAGTGAAGGCTAGCTGCCAAAAGTTGAGATTTTGGTCCATTTCTAATCTTACTCTCAGATCATGATGCCAGGATCAGAAATAACAGTTCACAAATCCCAGATACGTCACGAGTATTTGAAAGTGCAATTGTACTCTTCACTGTCTAAGGTTTGAATAAAGGATCATCGGAAACATTTTCAAAAGCACTTGGTACCTGGAGAAATATAAATCTCATTCTCAAAATTGATTCTTGCACTAGAGCCATTGTCCTGTCAGATCAGAGACAAAAAGGGTCTCTCTTTTTGGAGAGGTACTTCCCACTACCTGAGATTTGTGCTGTGCCCCAGGCAAGGTAAGATAGTTGGGGCCAGGAAGAGCTGAGAAAAGAGGGAGTTTGATTAGCTGATTAGGATGATCCTTACTAAGGAAAAACATGTATGGAATTCCATTCACATCCCCCCAAAAGTTCCTGAATTTTTCATGAAAATGTCAGCATAAAATTCATGAACAGCCTTGTCTCTGCACTGAAAGCTGTCCAGCTGTGCTATTGTGACATGATAGCACAGTAGTCAGCCAGGCCTCTCAATATGCCAAATACTCCAGCCGCAGCACCATGCTGACACACTTTATTGCTTCTTCTGGCATAAGCTTGCTTTTCAGTGTACTGCACTGTGGGGTATGCATGATTTTATACTTACTTGCCTCAGAAAATTAATCTCCAGTATACAATCCACAAGAGCCTTTATTGGTATTGACAAGGTCTCTATAAAGTCTACTCTTCACTCTCTGCAGCCCTTATTTTCATTAAGTGTGTCGTACAGATATACTTGTGCTGCATAGAAATGCAGTTAAAGCAACACTTTTTCTTAGGAAGTTTACAGACAATTTTTCACATAGTCTCTATAAAAGCAATGCACAAAGGTAACAGGGGTCTTTTTGGAGGGAGATACGAAGAGAAGAACCTCAGCCTTCTTCATGTTGACAGTCTGCATACTGTTGTCTTTTAAGGTGGACAGATACTGGAAAAACTGTTACAGACAGTGAAGCTGTTTCAGCATCATTTGAGGAGAGAATTTTGCTATGATTTTAGAAATATTCTTCCTGTTATCATTAGTAGGCTGTAAGAGATCTATTTCCTGTACAGTAGTGAAGAACTATAGTCTGCATTTTTAAAAAATTAGAGTAGCTGTGGAAGTCTCAGAAGATTCCTATACTGCCAAAATATTGATAACTTATTATTGTATTCCAAATAAACTATTGACAGCCAACATTGTTTGACTGAAACCAATTGTATAGATGACTGATGGGAATTATCATGCGGATCATTCAGCATGGAAAGTACTGCTTTATCTTTCAGTACTGGGTACTTTCAAAACAAGAATGTTGCTTTCTATTATCACAGAATTACTGAGCCAGCATCTAGTATATAAAAATGCTCCAGAAATCCCACGTTCTACCAAAGGTTGCATCCAGTCTCGTCATTAGAATTTCAAAACTTAAAGAGTTGTAGAATTCAAAAGTGGATAGATCTAGTAGTCAATGCAAAGGCTTTCAATCAGGCACAAATATAATGACTTGTATTTCATCTTGGGAGAGGGCAAAGGGTGGAGGGAAAGATAAGCTAAATGCTATTAAATACTAAATAACTGACAACCTAACCCACTAACATTTTGCTGTATTTTCAGGAGAGTTTGGCCAGGCTACAGCGAGCATTTGCTCGGAAATGGGAGTTTATTTTTATGCAAGCTGAAGCACAGGCAAAGTAAGTTTCTTTGAAGATGAGGAATTTTGATTTTTCATGCTTTTTGGAGAGAGAAAGGGAAGGAGGAGTGATTGGACACTTCTTATGTTTAAAATTACTGTAATTAACAAGTTTATTTTAAATATCCTGCAATGTTGACAGAGTGGACAAGAAGAGAGACAAGATAGAGAGGAAGATTCTTGACAGCCAGGAGCGAGCTTTCTGGGACGTGCACCGGCCGGTGGTGAGTGCCGCTGGGGTTGCTCTGCCTGTGAGCAGGGCCACTGATAAACGTCAGCCTTTGTGGAGCATTGGTGTAGCCTGGGAACAAGTAAAAGAGCTGGGGGGTTGGCACCTGCCTCTCTTTTTTTGCAGAATCTATAGTTTTTATCATTCTACTATTGCAGACTGCAAATATGTGCACACTCAGTTTGGGGGTTCCAGTGAATAGATTTGTTGTGTCCAGTTTCTGGGATTAGAAGATACCGGTCTCTGACTGTTATCATCTCAAGGCTTCCCAAGTTATGGGTCACACAACCAAAAGTATCAGCATAGGTAAAAAGGCGTTTTAAAAAATCTGGTTCTTTAATCTGCTTTTTTGCTTGCTAAGCCTTTCAGCTTCACTCTGGTCATATTTTGAGTTTATTTTTAATGTACATAAAGATTCAATATTGTTGGCTTTGAGCTATGGGAGTCATACACTGTCTGAACAAGATTTGTCTGAGTTGCTTGTCAAAGTCCATCTGAAAAAAAATTTTAAAAAGGAGTCTTACATATCAAATACCTTTGGAAGTTAAAACTTTGAGAAAGAACATAGAATGTTACAAGATGTCTAATTAAACTGGGAGAACTCAATAATCACACTTAATACAGAGTTATATTTCTTTCCCTTACCTAGAATGAAGCTTTCATTATTTTTTTTTGTTATTGGGATGATTACCAGTGAAACCAAATGTGGACTATATCTTCCATTGTGACAATGGGAAAAGATGCTTACATGAAACTAATTGTTTTGGGGAAGTGAAGTTAAATTGATGATATATGTAGAAGAAGTGAATACAGTGAGAAAGTTTCCAATCAAAACAATGACCTTGGACAGGGTCAGACTGTGGAATTGAGAGAGAAGTAGAAGAAATGGATTTTTAGGTAGGATTTAGAATGTCAGGTAGAGAAAATAATTTGAATGAAAGATTCAAACCACAGGCATTAGATACAAGACTGCAACATTATTATCTAGTTACTGACATAAAATAAGGAAGGAGGACAGAAAACAATCTGCCATCTGATGTTGATGGGAGCTATAAACGGAATGGAAAGTTCTGAAGGACCGGAGGACTTTGAAGGGGCAGACAGCTTTTATATTTGCTGCAGAAATGGATCTAAGGGTTTCAAATCTGGAAATGAGATGCTATTTCGAGGTTTGGAAGAGAAGAAAAATTGTTGAACTTTCAAGTTAAGATACAGGCAGACAATAAGGAGAGAATAAAAGGGCCTAGGACATGAGGAACTGAGTCTGATTAAGAGCTTTGGCTGAACAGTGGCTAAATCTGCCTGGTCCAGCCAGATGTTTTAAATCTGGTTGCAGACATAACTAGGAAATATCAGAGGCAAAGGACTGGCTTACAGTCAGCAGTGTAGGCTTCTGGCTCTAGGAGATATAAATAGAAGATCACAGAGGTTGATACTTTGGCTACTCAGCTCCTCTCACTAGTTAATGAAATACTAATTTTGAAAACTTTATGAATTTACTGTCACAATAAAAGCCAGAAGCTTCTATGCAAAAGAATTAAAAATAAAAGAGGGACAGACTGAAAAGAGGAGGGTGGTCCTGGGGCTTATGGCTTCTAATGGCTTTTCAAAGCCCCCAAAAGCCCATTAAAAATTCACAGAAATGTTACTCTAACTCTGGAGCAAATTTTGGAAAGTCAGCTAATAATTGGGTGAGAATCTGGGGCTAATTGTTATTTTATTTAGTTTTTCATCTTATGATAAAAGAATTCACCCCAATTTATTTATTTTTTTTCTGAAAATGGTTTTTAAGGAATCAATATTTCATTATTTGATTTTCTTGTTTAGGTGACTAAATAAATATTTTCCAGGGCTTTTTTGTGGGTGTTGTAGACCATAGTTGCTTTATTTCTTGCTACAGTCCAGGTAATAGAACCTTTACATATAAAATAAAATCTATGAATATTGCATCTGCATTTGATTTGAGAAAAGAGATACTTTAAGGTGATGAAAGGGATAGAAGAGGGAAACAAGCCATCAGTCCAAAAGGACAGTGCTGCAGTGCACTACAGGAATGGGAGACATGAAAAAAGAACATCTCTATAACAGTGAAACCAGGACAGTGTAGCTGCAGAAAAAGAGCATGATTTGGTATCAGAAAGGTCACTGTAACCATTTAAAATAAGGGAAATGAACCAAGGTTTCATGTGTAGAGAGCATTTTCCTCAAAAATAGCTCTGTTTCATAGGTCAAAGTCAATCCTGCAGGTGGTTACGGAGACCCTAGAAGATTTATACCATGGTCTGAGAGACAAATGCTTGAAAGTGATCATGGCTGTTACTTTTGATGAGCTGGCTGACTAGTGCCCTCAGCTGTTTCCTAGGTTTTCAGAATGAGATGATGCGTGGAGATGAACCAGAGGAAGTGTACTTGGAGAGAGGTTTTTTCAAATAGTTACTTGCTTTTCAATATTTTTTTTTAAGAGACAGTTAAGAGAACAGCTTTGATATCTCACTGATCAGTTTCCATTCCAATATTGCAGTTTCTCTGTGTATGTAATTTTTATTTTGCTGTGTATTTTAGTGTAATGTGGAGTGTAATCTGGAACATTGCTGTAAATTCCAGTAGCTGCTTTATGTAGAAAGATCTTAGCTTGCAGCAAGAAAGAACATGGCTGAGCTTCAACTGTAGGTACTGCAGCCTGCAGAGACATTCCTGAACAAATTTTAATCTTGCTTTCATATTCCAATCACAGTCAAACCATGGAAATGTGTGTGAGGGAGAGATGCACAAACTCCCTTGTGATCCTGAACAACAGACCTAGGATAAAGTCCATGCTGTTATTTCTAAGACAGAGCTAGTACCTAGCATAGATCTGAGATTAATATTATTGACATATAGTGATGTATTTATTTTTGATGGCAGAGTAAACATATCTTAAAAGCATTCCTTTTCTTTCCAGCTGCCTAGAAGCTGTATTGATAACTGACTATGGAACTGGGCAAAAATACATTAGGAGGATTAGGACATTAGTCAAAAAGCAGTAACAAATCAAACTAAATTGGGAAGTCAGTTCCTTCCAGGCAAAAGACCTTAAGAAAAAGCTGTTCTTATTTGAAAAGAAATGTCATGCTCCTGATTAAAGTCATTATAGAAGAACTCATAACTTTCCTGAATTATTATCTCTTTTATCTGTTAAAAACCCATAATCTTACACTTGTTAAAAAGGGACAAGCAGGTACTAAACCAGTAAAGCCTCTGAAGCCCTCAAATCTGCATCAAATACAGTAGAAGCAGACTAGCTGCAGCTTGCTGTAAAATTAACTCTTAGATAGTGAGCAAGCACAGCTGATGTCTTGCTGCTGCAAATTATCCACTTTTCTTCCTTCCACATTAACGTGATTTAAGTGAAACGCATAGTAAAGGCCTGTTGGGTGCTTGTTGAGACAGATTAATTCAGAAGGTAATGGGGGAATTATCCTTCCCTCCTGAAAGTCACCCATATACTTCTTAAGTCTAGTAAGTTGAAAAAAACCCACTTAATTTTATCTGAAAAGAAAAACAGTATTTGTGTGGTTTAATACGGTAACAAAAATTATCTGGGGTGGGTGTGTCCCACCTCACACTAAGCAGCATCGTCAAGGGCGAGTGTAGTTTAAAGATAATTCACTGATAATACACAGTTCAGAAATATATATGGTTCTGGATTCACGAGTTTCATGCCATTGTTTCCCAGTAGCAAACTAGAAAAAAAGTAATCTTTATTTTTTTAAAATCTTGTCACACATCTTGCCTCTCTATTTTTTTATGTAAGTCTATCTCCAATAATCTTATTTTATCTGTTTATATTTAAAAATTGTATTTTAGGTGGTCTGAACATGACCTTCAGAAACTGAGCCAGTAGGTAAAATTACTAGGTGTCTAGGGTGTACTTGGAGTTATTTGTTCTAGGTTTTTCTTGCATTGCTTTAGTTTTTAATGATTTTCCCATCCTGTTTGTCAAAATCAGCCTCAAAGGCTCAGCAAAAGACTGAATTTACCTTGGCTAGGGTGGTGTAATCCTTCATTTCACACTTCGTGTGCTATAAATCATAGACTTTTCTGGGCCAGTCACTTGTTTAATCAGAGAACATTTCTGTTTGCTTCATCATATCATCTTCAGCAAGATTTTAAACAGCTCCAGGAAATTATTGCAAATCAAGTCATCCAACTTCTCTAGTTATGTATCCGCAAACAATTTTCATGTCTTCTTTTGCACCTGTTTCACCATTTATCCTTACAAAGGACTTATCTCTGCAGTAGAGAATGCAGCCAAAGCAGCAACTGGAAATCTCAGGTAGTTTCATTTCTGGTAATGAAACAAAGCTTTGTACAATGTTTTATTTTCAGAAAGTGGTGATAATTTTTACATTCCATACTTGCATCTATTTGAGGCAGGTATTTATAAACCTTATAGCTAGCCTGCTAACTTAAGACCTTCATGGAAGAATTTGTACTCACGTTATTTAGCATTCTTACTTGGATACTTGAGTAAGAGTGGGACAGATGGAGAAAAAGAAACAAGCTGTCTTGCAACGTTGCAACAAACAAGACATGCTCCAGTTAAAACTGAGGATTATGAAGAGGTCAGAAATTGTGAAATAGCTAACTGATGAGATGGGGAAAAGAAAAAATAGATGATGAAAATAAGCTGAAGTAGTAATAATTAGTAATAATTTTAAATAAAAACAATGTCTATAAATTGGGTTTTGTTTCTGTGTGAGCTAAATTTGCTACTTTAATCCAAAGCATTCTGTCAAGGTTCTTTTTTAAATCAAAAGACAGATAATACATTTGTGTTTACTATATTTGCTGTCAACATTTTCATAGATCTGGGGTCAGACTTACTTGTTGTCACTCCTTTTCAAGGGAATAACCTTAATTCTTTTGTGTGGAATCCATAAAACAGCAGTTTCCTGCCTTTTGGAGTGAAGAAATTTGAAAAAGGAATAATGTAATAATGAGTATTTAGCATAA